TCAAAAAATAGTCAGGGCACTATTTGTCAAGCATGTTTTTACCATTTTGGAATATGTTTGGAGAATGTGCTATTTTTCATCGGAAACCCCCCCTGTAGGGAGAGGGCGGGCCCGACTGTAATGCACGCGGATCCCACCGCGGGCAAGAGCGACCGCGCTCCGCCCGCGCCGCTCTCGCGCCAGAGGGCCGCCTCGAAGCTCGGCGTCGCCGGTGTCCGCCTTCCCTGCGGCGCGCACGGGCTCGCCGCCAGGCCACGTTTTTTTTTTGTTTGTTATGTCTTTGTTTGTTTCGTTTTTTTTATGTCATTCATTTTCTGTTGTTTGTCAATTTTGTTTTCGTTGTTTATCTTTTTTCTTATATATATATTGTGTTACTAAAAAACATTACAGGCAGCTTAGAGGACCACTTCGGGAGAGATTCACCAGCACGCGATAAGTACGTATACTGCACACGAGAGCTGACAGGTCACGAGTGCCTCGCTGTCACGCCGCAGAGCATGCGATCATTGGGTAAGGAAGCCTTGGGTAAGGAGTCCAGGGTCTGGAGGCCAGCGGCGTTCCAGTCGTGGACTGGCCGTGGACATCACCGCCGCCCTCGTCGGATGCGGAGTCCCCCAGGGTCTCGAGCCTCCTGGGCACGTGCCTTGACGAACGCCCCCAGCGTAATCGCAGAGGGTCTTTAATGATGCCACCTCCCCCCCTAAGCTCTCGGAGGGGAATAAGAGGAGGAGAAGGAGGCGGAGGAGGAGGAGGAGGAGGCCGCCAGGCGTTGAACGATTGGATTTTTGAGCACTTCTCATGACCTCTCATGCATCCGCCGACGAGAACAATCAATTTCCAACGATTGCCGGGGCCCCAGTCCGTCAATAAGCCGGCGGACAAATGATTAATTTTCCCATTATTTCCCGGGGGGTTATGAAACACCCTCTGGGGTGAAGAGAAGCCGCCCTCGGAGTAAGAATCGGCGGTGGACAAACCTCCCTTTAGTAGACCTCCCCTTAGTGACAACGGCCTGGGGCCGAAACCGACGGACCTGGACCCGCAAAAACCTTGGGCGGGAGAATTGGTATGCGCAAAGGCCCCGTCGCTCGCGTAGTGAAAGACACGCGACGGATCTCTTAGCGTAAGCTGGGGGCCTTCGCCTCTGACGGACGTCAAACACAACGACTCGGGAACAAAACTAAAATCCGGTCCCGTAGAAAGGGTCGAGCCTTCGGGGACCACTTCCGACAACGGGGGCCAAGGGCCAAGGAGCGAAAGAAGGCGATGGATTCTAGTCCGAGCAGTCAACCTTGTTTTTCCCTACCTAGGCTCTGCCTAGAAGGGTTCTTAATGCGGTTACTCTCTGGGCTTAAAGGGGCCGGGCAGTGGAAAGCGCCCTGGGCGGTTCCCCCAGGTTCCGCCCCGCGGTTCCCCAGTTATGTCCCCTTAGCTTAGCGTTGTTTATCTCATATTAGCTTAGCTTATTTCATCTTAGCTTAACTTAGCCTCATATTAGCTCAGGCTTATCTTAGCTTAGCTGACCTTCATCTTAGCTTCGCTGAGCTTTAGCATCGCAGAGCACAGCATAGCATAGCGTAGCATCGCATAGCGCAGCACAGCATATCATAGCATCGCCCAGCATAGCATAGCATAGCGCAGCATAGCATAGCATAGCATAGCATAGCGCAGCGCAGCACAGCACAGCACAGCGCAGCGCAGCATAGCATAGCATAGCAGCAACACAAAGGCAAAGCAACAGCAGCGACAGCAAAGCAAAGCACAAGCAACACAAAGCAAAGCAAAAGCAAAAGCAAAAGCAAAGCAAAGGCAAAGCAAAAGCAATGCGCGACAGATGCCGAGCTAGCCTCGATGGCCGGACCAGAGCCCCCGCAAGCAGTGCCTTCCGTAACCATTTCGGCTCAAGTCCGGAGGCCCTGCCACACAGCCGCCCACGCTCATGTCCCAAGGCTGGCGGAGTGAGGCGTTCAGCGGTGCTGCACAGCCCGCCTCGGCACCAGGTGGCGCTGCATTAGCATAGCATAGCATAGCATAGCATAACATAGCCAAGCATAGCATAGCATAGCATAGCATAGCATACATAGCATAGCATAGCATAGCGCAGCTGAGCATAGCATAGCATATCATAACTTAGCATCGCACAGCGCAGCATGACATGGCATAGCTTAGCATAGCATAGCATAGCGCAGCATCGCATAGCATATCATAGCATAGTATAGCATAGCGCAGCATAGCATGGCATGGCATAGCATAGCAACTAATACTACTTTCCTAGGGGCTCCAACTTCTAGGTAGGGTCGCACTGGGGTAATTCTATTTTGCTCCTCTAGGCACCGTGAAGCGAACTCACGAGTGGCACGTTTGCTCCGTTTAGGGCCCAGGGGTCCTCACCGATCGACTCGGCTCGAAGAGTCCCTCAGAACGCACGGGGTCGGGAGCTCGCGTCGCGATCTTTCAACACCTTCTGCACTCTCTCGAACGACCTCGGACCTCGTGGAAGCTTGGGCAGCGGCTGGCGTGTGCAGAACGCACCTTCAGCATGGGGGCGGCGGGCCCTGCAGGAACCGGGCCCGGAAGGAGCCGGGCCCTGCACCCTGGTGCCTCCCTCCTCCTCCTCCTCCTCCTCCTCCTCTTCCTCCTCCTCCTCTTCCTCCTCCTCCTCCTCCTCCTCCTCCTCCTCCTCCTCCTCCTCCTACTAGGTCTTCCTCCTCCTGCTCCTCCTCCTCCTCCTCCTCCTCCTCCTCCTTCTCCTCCATTTCTTCTCCTCATAGATGAACAGCTCCTCCCTGTCGCACCCCGAGGCCAGTCTTTGAAGGCGGGCTGGGCGTTCCGCCGGAGCTCCCAGGGCCAGCTCCTCCTCCTGAGTGCCTTCTGCTGCAGTCCCCGGGGCCCGTGGAGGACCCCGGAAAGCAAAACGAAACGGCGAATGACCTGAGGGCCTGTTTCCCACAGGACCCGCTCCCCCCATGGCGACATCTATTCACCACCACCATGTCTGGGCGGGCTGGGCGTTCCGCCTGAGCGCCCAGGGCCAACTCCTCCTCCTGAGTGCCTTTTGCTGCAGACCCGGGGCCCGTAGAAGACCCCGGGGAGCCACAAAAAGCGGCGAATGACCTCCGGGCCCGTGGCCCACGGGACCCGCTCCCCCCATAGCGACATCTATACATCACTACAGTCGGCCTTGGTTGGACAGGACACGCGAGAGGACACGACACAGGACCCTTCCGAGGGCCCCATCGGCATAGGAGTGTAAGAAGGCACGTGTCGCGAGGCACAGGACACAAAGGTACCCTTGAGCTGGCAGGGTCGACCTACTAATCCGGGCCGACTGTACCATGCCTGGTCAGGGCCCTCCTGGGCCCTGGCATGGTGCAAAAGTCCTCCCCTGGCCGGGGTCGGAAGGGTCCTGTGTACTCGGGGACGTCCAAGGAGGGGGTCGTCCGCGGGGGGGGGGGGGGGGGCGCAAATCATGCACGGCGGCATGTGCGCGGCCCAGGGGTGGGGTGCCAGGGACGCATTGAAGTAAGAAGAGGCGCCATGAAGTCTCGGGAGATATTATGGTCCCCGCCATGAAATCTCCCCCTAGGTCATCCCTGCCCTCTTTGTCGCCCACGATATGCATACGGTAGGTTCGCGCGGCGTCGGGGCGCGAAAAGGCTTTTGACACCGCGACGATCGTTCAACCTTAAACCGATCGCGGTCCCGATCGTGGCTCCGGTGGCGCCGGTGGCTCCGGTGGCGCCGGTGGCGCCGCCGTGTCCCTCGGTGCTTCCACGTCGCAGAGTTCAACCTTGAAAGTCTGCGCTGGCGTCGCAGGCGCGTCATCGCCGCTTGAACCTGCTGCACACCATCCTGAGGCTCAGGAGTGGCCCCTGCTTAGGGGAACAAAAAGTGGCATAAACATAACATCTCGGAGGTCCGCGCGGATCTCTCGGATCGGCGCTGGACCCCCCTCCCTGGCGCGAGGAGTGCGCCATGGGCGGCGCCGGAGGCGCCGCCGGGGGGACCCCAGCGCCGATCCGAGAAATCCGCGCGGGCCTCCGAGTTTTTGTGTTTATGCCACTTGTTGATCCCCTACGGCGGCGTATGTTATGTCTCTACTACTACTACTACTACTACTACTACTACTACTACTACTACTACTACTACTACTACTACTACTACTACTACTACTACTACTACTACTACTACTACTACTACTACTACTACTACTACTACTACACTACTACTACTACTACTACTACTACTACTACTACTACTACTACTACTACTACTACTACTCCTACTCCTACTACTCCTACTCCTACTCCTACTCCTACTCCTACTCCTACTCCTACTACTACTACTACTACTATACTACTACTACGACGACGACGACGACGGACGACGACGACGACGACGACGACGACGACGACGACGACGACGACGACGACGACGACTACGACTACTACTACTACTACTACTACTACTACTACTACTACTACTACTACTACTACTACTACTACTACTACTACTACTACTACTTTATGTCTATGTCTTTTTTATGTTTATGCCACTATTATGTCATGCGGCGTAGAGGTGCACATGGGTGCGCGCGACCTTTGGACAAGAGGCCAAGCAGCACCAGCCCTGGGCGGGGCGAGCCTAGCCAAGCCTGCGCAGGTGCTCAGCCGGCGCCCCCCCCCGCCCCAATGGATGTGAATCACGCTGGGGCCGTTCTGTTCTTGCCCAGAAAAAATCAGCAGGCTCGCATCATCTACCCCTAATTAATGCAAATCGCACTGGGGCCATTCTGTTATTGTGAAGGGGCCCCAGGACACACACACAAATAAAACGATTCCCCATATTTTCCTATATTTTCTGGGTTACTGTCTTCCCCCCCACTTCCCATATTTTCCCATATTTTCCTGGGGAATCGACGATTGATTGTGTCTGTGTGTTTCTTCCCCTCCTGACAGAAGAAATCAGCAAGCTGGCATCATCTACCCTCCCCCCGCGACCTTATCCTGGCCTGGCAGCTGCGAGGAGACGGAGGCGCAGGACTTCTCGAAATGGCTGAACAGCGGGAGGTTGGGCAGCCGAAAGTGCTCCAGCGGCCGGAACCTCTGGCGCTGCAGCCACGCGCGCGGCGGCGCGGTGCAGGAAGTCGAGCGAGGGGAAATTCGAAACCAGTCCAGCAAACGTGGCGGGGGTCCAGGGATCCGCCCTTAGGGGATCGACCGGGTCACTCGCGGTGGGACGCGAGGGAAAGGGGGAATGGGGGGCACCCCACCCGCACTGCGAGCGGGCACGCGCACAAGCAGAGGCAGGGACGCAAATGCCTACCCAACCGCCCTGCAGCACGGCGCCGCTCTCGGAGCAACCGTGCGTCCCGGAGGGCGCAGGCAACAGGCGCACCACTGCGGTGATGGACGAGCTTGCAGAGAGGCCTCCTCTGGCCTGAGACCTCCTCCTGGAGACGACCTTCCGAGGGGGAGGTCGTCTCCAGGGGGAGGGCCTGAGGAGGAGGAGGAGGAGGAGGAGGAGGACGAGTAGGTGGAGGAGGAGGTCTCAGGCAGAGATGAGTAGGTGGACGAGTAGTTGGAGGAGTAGGTGGACGAGTAGGTGGACGAGTAGGTGGATGAGGAGGTGGAGGAGGAGGACGAGTAGGTGGACGAATAGGTGGAGGAGGGTGAGGCGATGTGGTGTCTCAGACAGAGAATGGCGAGGCCGTCAACGCCGCGGGCCCCGCGTCGGCTTCGCAGCGTGACTGGAAGCGAGCGCAGGGAGACGCAGACGGCGGCGGGGCCCGCGGCAGGCCAGCGGAGGCCGGCGCCGGGCAGGGCCCGCCCGGGCACCGGCACGTCGAGCGAGCGAGGGAAGCGTGGCGAGCAGGCGCAAAAAAACAACGAGAGGAGATGCCAATGACGCAACGCATCTTCCCCATCGACTGATGGGCCTGTTTTTCCACCACCACCACCACAAGTTGGAGGGGGGAAGGAGGTGGAGGACGAGGAGGACGAGGAGGAGGAGGAGGAGGAGGAGGAGGAGGAGGAGGAGGAGGAAGACCCCCTCCCCCTCCAACTTCTGGTGGTGGTGGTGGTGGAAAACAGGCCCATCATCGACTCATGCTCATGCCGCTCCTCGTGCTCCTCTGTTCCCCCTCTCGACGCAACAGAGCACGGAAGTCTCAACACTGGCTGGACAGTGAAAGCCCACACCCAAGGACGCCCATCGGCCAAACAAACAGAATGCCGCCCTGCTCCCTGGCAGAAGCGGAAAATTATCATTCTTGGACACCCGAAGTGGGTACGGAACAAATGGGTACGATGCCCCACAGCAGGCCTGGGCCAACACCAACACCGGCCATTGTCGGGCAGGCGGCTCCCTGTTTCAAGCGGAAAAAGTCCGCGGCGACACCGACAACGAGTCCTGCTCAGAACGGACAGGAAGTGCTGTCGGCCTTCGCCACCATCCTTTCCGTACTCATCTCAATATTGCAGGAAGGACGCCGTCCTACTCCTCCTCCTCCGCCTCATCCTCCATCTCCTCCTGCCCCTCTCCCGCCTCCTTCCACCGCCCGCCCCATGTCCCGAGCCTGTGGCAGGGTCATCAGCTCGTCGTCGTCGTCGTCCCTCTGGGTCGGCGGCATCTGCCGTAAAGCCCATCGTAAAGCCTCAAATTCCAGAATACACGCCGCCACCGCCGTCGTTGGCGTCGTCGCCACGTCGCCACCGCCGCCTCGATTTGGCGGCGCGCAGATTGGGGTAGGGGGAGGGGGGAAGGCTTCTCAGAACGATGCCGCTTGTTAGAAGGCGCTGACCCTACATCTACAGACAAGGCCCGCGCCATCTAAGAAGTAGGGGTGCTTCTAAGAAGCTTTCCCCCCTGTCCCCCATGCCTTTGCGCGTGGCCGAACTATCTAGAGATCCCCCAAATGGGGTCGGAATTGATGGGGTCGGAGGGTCGGGCCCAATGGCCGATGCATCGCCGATGCATCCGCAACGTCGGCGTTGCATCGGCGACGTCGGCGTGGAGACAATTGGGCTCCACGCCGAGCCGCATCGCCGATACATCGGCGATGCGGCGCGACCCTCCAACCCCGTAGACTCCGACCCCATCTGGGAGTCCGAAGCGATCCGGTTCCTGGAAATCAGAGGTTCAGTTCTTTCAATACGGGGTCCCTGGCAGTCTCAACCCATTCCCTGGGACCAGCCTCTCGTATGGAATCGAGACTTGACACCCCCAGGGCCTAGCGAGGGCGCCCAGATGTCGAAATCAGCAACAACAGAAACAGCAACTTACGTTTGTTGCTTAAAACGTCGGAGGTCTGGGAGCTGTCCGAAAGCTCCTTCGGCGAGAAGGAGAGGATGTGTTCTCCTCCTCGCGTGGCGGCCTGGGCTGTGCCTAGGCACGAACCGTTCCGTGAGCACCGCCGAGACCGCGACGATGGTGTGGGGCTCCGCGACGATGCTCCTCCTCCTCCTCCTACTCCTCCTCCTCCTCCTCCTCATCATCCTCCTTCTCCGTTCCTTTCCCTTGCAACGACTCCCTCCCTGTCGCACCCCGAGGCAAGTCGAAGGGCGGGCTGGGCGTTTCGCCTGAGGACTTCCTTTCCCTCGATTGTCCTGAGACGTAAAGTTAGCAACAGTTTGTTTCACACATGGAGGGAGGCTGGTTTTCACAATGTGGATCTCGCCTTAGCGCCGCGCGCACTCATCTAAACATGTGCAAGAGTTTCAAAGATTGAATCCGGATCGTTTTCAAAATAAGGCTCTCGCTGTAACGCCGCGCACACTGGTCTGAAATAACTGCAGGAGCTTCCCGGATTGAAGGCGGGCCGTTTCCATCATGTACGTCTCGCCCTAGCGCCGCTCGTATTGGTCTTAGAACGTTGAAAGCGCTTCACGGATTGAGGGCGGGACGTTTTCAAACTGTGGCTCTCGCCTTTGCGCCGCACACGTCTAAAGACAATTGCAGGATTTTCACGGACCGAAGCCGCTTCTTTGTCAACATGTGGCTCTCGCTTTAGCGTCGCGCACGCCCATTCAAACAAATTAAGATTGTAAGGTCTTTTCGTTTTCCTATGGTTAACGTGCCGCACATGGTATTTTGGAAGGATTGGAAATTGCCAGGGCGCAACAGTTACGTAGATTCGCGGTCATGAAATCCCAAGATCGGTGCGCTGGAGTGGAGTTCCGAGCAAGGTGTTTTGGCACGTTTCGGGATCTTGGAACGGTTGCCCCCTAACGGGGCATTTCCCTCAGTGGAACTGAATCCTTGTAGAAACCTATGAAGAAGGCGCCTGGAGGGAGGGCTCATTCCAACATCGTTGACGAGTCTTGGGTTTGCACTCGTCCTCCTCCACCTGCTCCTCCTCCTCCCCCTCGTCGTCGTCGTCGTCATCGACGTCGTCGTCGTCATCGCCGCTGCCGCCGCCGCCGTCGTCGTAGCCCTTCGTCATCGTCGCCATCGTCGCTGTCGTGGTCGTCGTCGTCCTTGCTGGCGCGGGGCCCGAGGCCTCAGGACGAACCGCTGCTCCAGGCCGCCGCTGGGGGCGGGCGGCCCGCGCAGCAGGCGCCCGTGCAGGCAGAAGGCCAGCAGCCTGCACGTGGGGCCGGGGACGGACCTCCGACGCCGCCGCCGCCGCCGCCGCCCCTGGGCGTCCGACGCCGCCGCCGCCGCCGCCGTCCCTGGACTCGGCGGCGAAATCCGAACCCTGGCCTCGCCGATCAACGATTCTGGTAACTCGATGGGCGGCGGGGGCAGGTCTGGGACCTCGGATGCCCCAGCCGCCCGAGATCGGAGCACGACCCGAGCGCCAAAACCGTGCGGTGACCCCGAATCCCCACCGACTCACCGCACGGTGAGGTCACCATTTTGACTACCTACCAGACCACCCCAACCCAACCCGAAGACCCGAATTTCGGGTTGGGGGGGGGTAAGTGTTCCCCGCGTGGTTTTTCGATGTTTCCCGACCCCCCCCCACTAGAAATCTAGGGTAAATCTGAGCCTTCGGGTTGGGTTGGGATGGTTTGGTGGGTGGTGACATTTTGGCGCACCCTTCGCAGCTCGCGGGCCCAATGGGGAACTCCACCGCAGGCCGCAGTGGGAGGCTCCGCGTGGCCCCGCCGCCCTCTTTTTTGGCGCACCCCTCGCACGGCTCCTGGCCCCACGAGGAGCCCAACCGAAGGCCCGCAGTGGGAGGGCCCGCATGGCACCGCCGCTTCATGTTGTTTTGGGGGCCCCCAAAGGACGTACGCGTCCAGCTATGTACATGAACACGGCCCCTCGATCCGCGAGACCCGCCGCGTTATACGAACAGGTGCGCAATGCGTACTCTCGAAACCAGCGTGGATTCTTGTACGTGTACGTCCTTTTGTCGCTCCTGAGTTTTGGGGGCCCCCGAGCTTGATGGCAGGAGCACGCGCAGACACAGCAAGGGCTCCCAACTTCGCGCTTCGCGCTACGCGTGAAGTGCGGATCACTTCGCGCCGTGGCGCCGCCTCCCAAGCGAGAAGAGGGAGGACGAGGAGGAACCGGAGCCGAACCGCGAAGCGCGAAGAACTTCGCGCCCTGCAGCACGCGCAGACACAGACCGTCGGAGCAAGGCCGGGCGAGACCACGGCGGCGCTCCCCGGCGTCGCCCGCCCCTCCCGGGCCCTGCGCAGGGGGGCGCCCCGGCGCCACGGCTGCATCCACCTCGAAGAACCAGTCTTAGGGCGGGCATGTCCCCCCACAGGCGGATTGTGTCAGAAAAATGACAAGAAACTCCAGGCAATACTCAAAAGTTGTAAACCATATCCTGGCAAAGCAACCTAACAGCGATGCGTAGAAGCATATCTGGAAGCATTCCCCTTAAGATTCAGGTGAGAATCCAGTTGTAGAATTCTGCTGTTCTCGCAGTCGCAGCCTCAGCCTGCCTCGGCTTGCCTCAGCCTCAGCCTCAGCCTGCCTCAGCCTCAGCCTCAGCCTGCATCAGCCTCAGCCTCAGCCTGCCTCAGCCTCAGCCTGCATCAGCCTCAGCCTCAGCCTGCCTCAGCCGCAGCTTGCCTCAGCCTCATCCACAGCCTCAGCCTCAGCCTGCCTCAGCTTCAGCCTCAGCCTCAGCCTGCCTCGGCCTCAGCCTCAGCCTGCCTCGGCCTCAGCTTCAGCCTCAGCCTCAGCCTGCCTCAGCCTCAGCCTCAGCCTGCCTCATCTTCAGCCTCAGCCTCAGCCTCAGCCTCAGCCTGCCTCGGCTTGCCTCAGCCTCAGCCTCAGCCTGCCTCGGCCTCGGCCTCGGCCTCAGCCTCAGCCTGCCTCAGCGTCAGCCTCTCAGCCTCAGACTGCATCAGCCTAAGCCTCAGCCTGCCTCAGCCTCAGCCTCAGCCTCAGCCGCATCTTGCCTCAGCCTCAGCCACAGCCTCAGCCTCAGCCTGCCTCAGCTTGAGCCTCAGCCTCAGCCTGCCTCGGCTTGCCTCGGCCTCAGCCTCAGCCTGCCTCGGCCTCAGCCTCAGCCTCAGCCTGCCCCAGCCTCAGCCTGCCTTAGCCTCACCCTGCATCAGCCTCAGCCTCAGCCTGCCTCAGCCGCAGCTTGCCTCAGCCTCAGCCACAGCCTCAGCCTCAGCCTGCCTCAGCTTCATCTTCAGCCTCAGCCTGCCTCGGCCTCAGCCTCAGCCTGCATCAGCCTCAGCGTCAGCCTCTCAGCATCAGCCTGCATCAGCCTCAGCCTCAGCCTGCCTCAGGCTCAGTCTCAGCCTGCCTCAGCCTCAGCCTGCCTCAGCCTCAGCCTCACAGTTGGCTCCGGGCAATCAAAATGTAGCCTGGGAGTTGTGTTCTGGGAACACGAAGAACACGAAGTGGCCTACAGTTGGCTCCGGGCATTCAAAATGTGGCCTGGGAATGGTGTTCTGGGAACACGAAGAACACGAAGTGGCCTACAGTTGGCTCCGGGCATTCAAAATGTGGCCTGGGAATGGTGTTCTGGGAACACGAAGAACACGAAGTGGCCTACAGTTGGCTCCGGGCATTCAAAATGTGGCCTGGGAATTGTGTTTTGGGAACACGAAGAACACGAAGTGGCCTAGAGTTGGCTCCGGGCATTCAAAATGTGCCCTAGGAATGGTGTTCTGGGAGCAAGAAGAACACGAAGTGGCCTACAGATGGCTCCGGGCATTCAAAATGTGGCCTGGGAATGGTGTTCTGGTGGCTCCGGGCAGTCAAAATGTGGCTCCTGGCAGTCACAATGGAGGTCCCCGGTTTTCCGCGGCACCCGCCCTGACCCCGCCCAGACCCCCCTGGGGAGTCATGATGCTCTCTTTGGACCCTACTAGAAACCTATCAGTCTTCGCTGTTAGGTAACAAGCAATAGAAAAGTCGCCCCCAGACTATCTTTTGACTATTTTGGGATATTCCTCCTGATGAGGGACATGCCCGACTTACAACAAACCCTGGGGACCGACGTTGAGCGGAGCCGGGCCGGGCAGGAGAGCCGGCAGGAGAGCCCAGACTCGAATCGACGAGTCTGATCGGCGATCGATTAGGGGGCCACATGCGAACCCTACCCCTACCCCACACGATTTCTGAGGGGGAGGGTGGGGTTCACTTCGTTCGGGAGTGAACCCCACCCTGCCCCTCAGAAATCGTGTGGGGTAGGGGTATGGGGGTAGGGTTCGCATGTGGCCCCCTATCGATACGAATCGGATCGACGGATATCGGCAGCCGAGTCGGGAAAAGTCGAATCGGCAGACATCGGCAGGCCGGTAGGCCTCCATCGAAGAAATCTACTCCCAGATCGGAATCCGACCTCGAATCGAATCGGAATCGGAATCCATCGAACTCGAATCGAATCGACTCGAATCGGCGGCATCGATGTGAGCCCCTGGCCGGCGCTGTCATAGCTGGCCCCCCTCAGCTGGAAACCTCAGCAGCCCAGCGCACGTCACCTCCTGCTCTGCTGTGCCCGCCCGCGGCATATAAGGCACTCGGCCTCCGCGCGCGCCTGTCAGAACACATCCGCATGGGAAAACTGAAGGGGCCCCAGGACACACAAATAAATAGACACAAATAAAAAGATCCCACATCTTTTCATATATTTCCTGGGTATATGTCTTCCCCTCCAATTCCCATATTTTCCTATATTTTCTGTGGAATCGACGGTTAATTGTGTCTGTGTGCTTCTTTCCCTCCTGAACAAAAACATGCGCGGGCACGGGCGAGGGCCGGTCATCGCGCAAGCGCTCCGCAAGACCATGGTCGCATAGTAGGGGAACGAGGCCCCGGCGCGCGCGCGCGGGCGCAGGAATGCATCATGCATCGGAATAGAAATTGCCTGCTCGCAGACCGAGCAAAACCATCTCAGCGCTGCAGGGCGCGGGTGCTTCAGCGAGCTCGTTCTTCCGAGTTCCTTGTTTACCTTTTGGGGAGGGGCTTGCCACTGCTCCTTGTGACATGTACACCCCCTCGGCCGCTCGACCAGCTCCGAACCAAGTCCAATGCCGACGCCACCCCACCATCTGTCAGAAAACCATACAACTTGCATTTTACCGCAAATTAAGGATCATGTTCGGGCGCCCGAAACTATAGTTTTCGTATTGCTCTATAAGGGGACGGAAGGGGATCTTAGCATACAGCCCCACGTGCGCACGACCACCATCCCCGTCCCAGGCAGATACACAAAGCACGGTGCCGCCATACGCGGGCGCCCCGCGACCATTTTGCCTTGTTATTTGGCCGCTGTCGTAGCTGCCGCCGCAGCCACCGACGCCACCGCCATCTCCGCCGCTGTCGGCGCCGCCAGCGCCGCCATCGCCGTCGCCGTCGCCGCTGCCGTTGTCGTCACCCTGCCGCCGCCGCCGGCCTGAACAGCCCGCGCGTCGACGCCTGCGTCGCCTCCAGAAGCAACAGGGACGGCGGCGGGCTCTTCGGCCGCAGGCCGCCTGGGGCGCCCTGCTGGTGCTTCTGCGGGCCCCTCTTCGCCTCGGGGGGCCGCGGCCGTCGTCCGCTGCCGATCCCAGAAACCTACGGCGCAAGGAACAATTTTTTCGACGGCGGTTTGCCGCAACTTTCGGCCTCCGGGGTCCCTCGCCGGGCCCCAGGACCACAGTCGGCAACACGCAAAGGTGACCCTGGGTAAGATTGGTGCGCGACTTTTCGGGGGCCGCGGGGGGACCAAACCTAGGCGCGCAAGCAGCTGCTACTGCTTCGTTTTCAGTCATCTGGGGACCCATCTGTGCCCGCACCAAAGGTCACTCTGGCGAAAGGTCACTCGTACGTCTAGTCGACACAAAGACGACTCAGAAGGGAACGCCGGCCCCGAGGGCAAGGTCGGGGTCCCAGGCGCCCCGCACTGACGACATCGAGACATCGCATGTCTGGGGGGCCCGCCACGTCGCCAACCTTCCGGTCTCTTCGATTATGATCGGCGGCGAGACCGGGGGTGCGAGGCGGGGATTTATCCATATCCACCGCCTGGGAACCGGCGTCCTGGTGCCCGGGAGGGGGGTGGATATGGATAATTGTTGGCCCCCGGGGGCCCGAATATGTCCATATCCACCCCCTGCCGATGACCCCGAACTTGATCCTCCAGGCGGTGCCGTCGGGCCTTCTGAGAAAATGTGTCGCGTCTTCGGGGAAGGCCCGGGAAAGTTCTCAGAGGGCCTGAGGCCTTCCGAGCCTTCGAGCCTTCTGAGAAATCTGTTCGTGTCTCCGGGGGAAGCGAAAAACAATTATCCTGAGGACCTGGGGCCTTCCAAGCCTTCTGGACAGGCGACCTTCATCGTTTTCCCCTCACTCGCCGCCGAAATCGGGGATCTTCTGACCCGGGTCAATCCAGACCCGGGTCAGCGGGAAACCAAAAACTGCAATGCAGGAGCAAAAAAACTGCAACGCAGGTCTTCGCAAACCCGGGTCAGCCAATACGCGCGGCCGCCTCGCGGCCACGAGCGGCTCCCTGACCCGGGTCAGCCAGAGGGGTCCTTCGCAGGATCCTGCAGGATCCGGCGCCCTGGCTGACCCCCGTCTGCGCTGACCCCCGTCTCGAGGCTCCCGACGAAATCAGCCATGTTACGCGCCGGGCCCTTACCCGCGCTTCTTGGAGGGCCGCCCCCTTCCCGCCGTCCACCTGGCGTGCGCCACCGAATCGTCGCCGTAAGTCCGCTCCGACGTGTCCGCGCCGGAGCTGGGCTGCAAATTTCGTGCCCCGTTTCCGTGTGGACCACTGGCGGCTCGAGCAGCAGTCGCGCCGCAGGTCTTTTCTGCGATTCCTGCCGCCCGCCGGGCGACTGCTCGCGACCCCGAGACCGTGAAAGATGAACTCGGGGCCTTCTAACTTCTCATGCCCAGGATATTGCTACCAAGACCTGGGCACTTCCACCTGAAGGGGCCCAATGTTTAGGCCCGCGGGCGCCACGCGGCCCAAGACAGTCAGACGACGGTCAGCAAGCGGCGGGGTGCACCCGGAGCGGAATGGAGGCGCGAAGGTGAGCAAGAACGGAGCGCGAGGGGGGCAGCCCGAGACAGAAGAACGGACAATCCGCCAACGTGCCTCTGGGCACCGAGTGGGCGCGTCCTCAAGTCTTCTTCCTGACCCCAGGAGTCTCAATCTAAAGCGCAAGCAAGCCTACCTAGCTTTTGACCACCCTCGCTCCAAGAAGTACTAAGCGATGCCAAACTCCGCCACCAGCGCGTCGAGTACCACTTTCACGCCGTCGCCAGCGACTGGGTCCACCAGCTGCGACGCCAGGGCGGCCTGGTCGATCTGCCGATCCACTGGGGCCAACCAAGCCATGCTGTCGGCTGAGGCCGCCAATTCCTCAGCTGTGACCACGGCGCCAAGCTGCAAATAGTCCAGCTGCACCTTGTCGATGCTGCCAGCCGCGCCGCCCTGTCGGCGCGGGCCGTCTGCCGCCTTGGCTGGCGCGCACTTGTCGCGCCAACCTCGCGGTGGAAGGTGAGCGAGCTCGTGATTGTCGATCTCCTCCTGGCGGGGGGGCGGCGGCGCCCGCTTCGCCCTGGCTGGCACCCCGTCGGGCTCTGCCTCTGCCAACGGCGCCTCCTCGCGTTGAAGCTGCTCGGCCGCCGCGGGGGCCGCCGCCGCGGGCGCCTCGGCCCCGACCGGGTTGAGCCGCGGCGTCTCGGACGTCGTCGCGGTGGCTCCCGCGACGCGCCCATCGCGCTCAGAACAAATTGCCCTGCCGCGCCGGAGGCGCGTTGGCGACGCCCTCTGGCAGGCTGGGCGCCGCGGGCGCGATGTGCGAGCCCGTCGGGGAGAACGTCGCAGAATGGCCGCCGTCGTCTGCCTCGGCTACCCCCAATATCTGGTGAGAGACGCCGGCGGCCTGGCAGTCGACGCCCACTCCGTGCGCGTCTGAAGTGTCCAGCAGGTCGTCCTGCACTCTTCTCGCCGCGGTGCTCCGCGCGCCTAACGTCCGCGGCGCGGATGTCGCGGGGCTGGGCAGGCCCGCGCGTCGCCGCGCTCGGGGCGCGGCTGCGTGGGCGCGTCGCTCTGGAGGCCCCCGAGCCCACCGTGATGTACTCCTCGCAGCTCCCACTGTCGCCTCCTGGGCTGTCAGGCCGTGGAGCACGCGGCGTCGAGATCCGATTTGCGGGATCCGCTGCCTGGGCCGCCAGGCGCAGCTCCCACTGGATGGCGGACGACGTGTCTCACGTGGCCCCGCCGCCACTTGAGCTGGCGCTGCCGCCGCTCGGAGCGGCCACTGAGCTCGCCGCTGGCAGTTGGCAGCTGCACGGCGTTGGCCCCCGCCTGGTTGACGCTGCTCGGCGCCGCGGACGGCGCGCTCGACGCTGCTGAGCCCGTCGCAGGCGTAAGCAGCTGAACCAAGTTCAACGCGCCCTTCAACTCGATCGTCTTGCTGGCTGCGCTGTTCACTCTCGCAGTCTTATCAGGGCAGTCTCTCAAAAGGCCCCTCTGATGGCACGTCCTGCACGTCCGTGTCTCGACGCGCTGGCCATCATTGCCATCTCTGCCCTCGTTGTCCTTCTGCGTCTGGTGCTGAGATCGGGGACCTTTTGCTTCCGTCGTGGAGCTTCCCGTGTCCCTTCTTGCCGCCGTCTTTTCCTTTGCTCTTCCCCTTCCCCTTCCCCTTCTCGATGGCGTCCGCGACCGTCGCCGCCTCGGTTGGCGCGACCCGTCCTGCTGCCGACGTCGCCGCCAGGGGCCCGATGTCCATGGGTGCTGGCCCGCTGCCGCCCGCCGCGGAGGCCCCCGCTGCGGTGCCTCTTGCAACGTCCTTGAATGTCCCCCTGTTCATCAGGTACGTCTTCGCGTGCGTCGCGGTCCCGCCGTAGTCCCCGAGGCGGCTGGCGTTGACCATCAGCCGCTGCTGGAAGTCCCTGTCCTGGATCCCCGCCACGAGGATCGCCGCCTTGATGTTGCTGGGCGCCGCGCTGCCGAACCGCTCGTGCGTCTGGGCCGCCACGTCGAATGTCGGTCTCGATCGCCGCTGCTCCGAACGCCCGCCCCATCGGCTTCCTCGTCCGGCCCAGAGCTGACGCTGGCTGGTCGGGCCCGAACTCCTTCACGAGCTTGCGCCTCGCCGGCAGTCCTTCGCCCTTCGGGGTCGGCCGCTGCGCGGCGAACGCCTTGCCTTCCAGGAGCAGCACGAGCATGCGGCACAGCTGCCGCGACGCGCCGACGCGCGCTGGATTCGTCAGGTCCAACGTCTCGTTGGTGACGTCCACTTCCGCCTTTTGCCCGACCGTGATCATCTCCTGGCGCAAGTCGTCGTCTAGCGTCGCGATGTGCGCCAGCAGCTTGAACGACCACGCGGGCCACGCTGCCTCGCTGCCCTTGAACTGGGCTGGCTTCGTCAGCAGCTTCGCGTCGATGATGTCCCACTTCCGACGACCCTCGCTCTTCGCTGGCGCTGGGCTCGTCGACGCGGGCCCCCCCGCGGCGATCAGCAGCTGGAGCGCCTGCTGAAGCTGCTGGATCTCTGTTCGCGCCTCCAGCTCTTGGGCTCGCTTCTCGGCGGCTTCCGCTCGAGCAGTCGCAGTCCGCAGTGCGTCCATCACCCGCTGGGCCGTCGGCTGCTGCTGCGGCAGAGCTCCTGCCGCAGCTGCGGCCGCGGATGCGGGGTCGCCCGCCGCCTGCTGTGCCGCCGCTGCTTGCAGCTCCTCCTCCATCTCTGAACCTCCACACTACGAAGGCCCAGTAGGCTTCGCTCTCGTGGGGCATGAAGGAGTGACCGTCCTCGTCCATGACGTCGGGCGGCCAAACGTGACCCAGCTCTTTGTCGAAGACGACGTCCCCGAACAGGCAGTGCGTGAACGTTGGCAGTCGATCTCGTGACCGACGATCTTCTCGACGAGGTTGAGCGCCGACTCCTCCAACAGACTGCAGTCGTCTCCGCGCCGCTGCCGTCGCCAGGCGGCGTCCTCCGATCGCCGCCGCCCTCGCTGCGTCTTCTGCTCTTGCGCCCCGTTGCTGTAGCGCCGGCCGATGTTGAACCTCGGCCTGCAAGGGGTTTTGGGTCTGCCCTGCGCTGCCCCGCGGTGCTCCCCGCAGGGCGTTGGGACGCCCTACGCAGCCCGCGGTGCTCCCCGCTGCGCCGCTGGGCTTGGTGGCTGCCCTCCGTAGCCCGCGGTGCTTCCCGCTGGGCTGGTAGGCCGGCACCTCCGACGCAGAACCCGTGGATCCTCAGGCCACGCGCTCCGCCAACATGCGCGGCACCCCCCGCGGAGCCGCGATTTTTTTTGAACCAAGAGGGCTGCGTCACACCGCCCCCCAACAACCCTGTAACTATGTTCGTAGCTCTGGTAAGTATTCCTCCTGTAAAGGGGCACGCCCGACTTAACGCGAGCCAAGCAGAGCAGCGGCTGGGAGCCCCACGCGCAGATAAGACGAAAACAGGGCGAGGACATCGGACTCGGATAAAAATCGGGAATCTCTGAGATCTGAGCTTCTGGAAGATGTCGTCGGCGCCGCGGCCTTCTCAGGGCGTTCCTTAACGCTCTGAGAGCGTTCCGCAACGCTCTGGCACGGATGCATCCTCGCCCTAGCCCCGTCCAAATAGAGTGAGACGGGGGGCGGGAGAGGAAGATAGTGGGTCCAGGAGCCCCGGACAGTGAGGCGCGGATCTGGGGCGATTCGATGGTCCTCAGAAGATCTGCTGGCAGAAACGTGTGTTTGTCCACGCAGGCCGACACGGGCTGCGCACTATCGGAGGAGCCGAAGCGGTGAACGCACGCTTGGGCTAACAGATGTCCAGAGGACCTTCGACTGATGCAGGATTTGGTCGTGGGGCTCTCCTTTGAAGGCAGGAGTTCCTGGCCATCGCTCGGACGTCCATTCCCCGTGCATTGTTCAACTTCGTGCGTTTATTGGTTCGTATGGTGATCCAATCTGCTCCTCGATGGCCCTCGCCGAGAAAAAATGCAGACGTCCGTGAGATACCAGGGTTCATGGCCGAGCCTCCTTGATGCCAAGGCATCCTGCCCTCTGGTATGATGGTCGCACCACAAGCAGGGGGATGCATGCAGACGAGCCCAGAAACAGGCAAGCCGAAAAACACTCCTTGACACGGATCCCTCCCCCTCATTTTTCCGGACCTTCTGCCATAACCTTCCGCCCCTTTTTCGACATGATCTATGTGGGTTTCCTTGAATTGCGAAAACAGTCCATTAACTTCGATGAATTCTTACAGACCTTTCGCGGAGGTCTGAAGGTATGGAAGGTGGAGGTGGACGGATGTCCCCCAACTGCTACGTAGTGCTTGTTTCACGTGGACTCCTTGAGCTCTGGATTCATTTCCCAGGACCCGATGTTCATCCTCAGTATTTCCGAGCACGACCCCAAGGCCTGATGACCCCCCAGACAGAAACTCAACAAGCACCTCCCGTCGCGGTTGCTTCCCAACGAGAGAGGTGGAGATTCTGCCGAAACAGAGCGGCGTTCGTATACGTGACGGGCGAACAACGAAACAAGGAACACAACCTCCAGAGGTACACTCATGCTGACCCTGGGCCCTGTTCAGCCCTGGCTGGCCTTGGAAGCCCCTCCGGCGGGCTGCTCCTTCGCGTGGTAGACCTCGTTGAGAGTATAGATCCGGAGGCCGAACAGGTACTCCACATACCTGGGGCAGGAGCTAGACGCTCGATCGGGGCACCTTCCCGGAGCCACTCGCTCCACTCGTGCGCCGATGCTGCGTCGAACGCCGGCCGACCTGATTAGACCTTCGAATTCTAGTCGAGCTAGGGTCAAGACATAGCCGAACCAGATTCCGACAGTCGGGGGTCTTCTGACCCGGGTCAATCCAGACCCGGCTCAGCAGGAAACCAACAAACTGCAATGCAGGAAAAAAAACTGCAACGCAGGACTTCGCAAACCCGGGTCAGCCAATAGGCGCGGCCGCCTCGCGGCCACGAGCGGCTCGCTAACCCGGGTCAGCCAGAGGGGGTCTTCGCAGGATCCTGCAGGATCTGGCGCCCTGGCTCAAGGCGCCCCTGCTCAAGGCCCTCCCCATTTGCATTGACCCCCGTCTCAAGGCTCCCGAGACAGACCCGTGAAGTGAGCTCCGGGAAGGCACCCCCAAACGAAACAGCTAACGGAAGGGCTCGGCAGAAGGGCCGCGTAGGAGGCTCCGGGGATCTCCCAGCCGCCGGGGGGAAGCGCGCGCCCCCGATGATGGAGCAGGGACCGACCGTCCCGGCACTCCTATAGTCCTACCACGAAATGTTCTTGGAACCCAAATGTGTGTTAAGAACAAAAGCCGTGCTCTTAGAACATAAACCCGATGTAGTAAAACAGGACAGACTCCGCCAGACATGTTCCAAGAACATCTCGTGGAAACCACAAGATGTTCTTAGAGCATTGTTTGGTGGGGCTATAGGCGAGCCAGGACGCTTCGCCGCTGCTTGAGATGAGCAGTCGGGGACGCGATCGGCTCCTTGGGGGCGGTTTCAGGGAATCGAGTTCGTTCGCCTCCCGAGTGAAGGGGAACGACACTGGGGGGGGGACGGCCGCAGGCTCGAATCGGCAATGCATCGCCGATTGCTCGGCAACGGCCTCACGGCAGCAAGTCCGCACCCTCCTGGGCGGGTTTGGCTATCGGGCTCCTGTCAGCGATGAAAAGGCGACTGGGGGTCGATGTGCTGCCCCTGATCGGAAACTGAAACGTATACATTACCAGTGGCTGGCTGTTTTTCAGTCCCAAGATTTTTTGAGGGTCGAGGACGACGCTGGGGTGGTGTGGTGTATACTTTTTTCCCCGATGCCCCGGGGAAACGACGAAAAATGTATACACCAGGATCCCGCGTACACCTGAATCCGCGTTCCTGTGCGAATTTCGGCGCAGGGTCGGGAAAAGCGTCGGTGTATATAGAGTTGGATCCCCTACCTGAGCCTACCCCGCCCAACGTTGCCCCTGACCCTGGCGAACCAATAGATCATGTGGAACTCGAACTGGTCGTAGAGATCCAGCTCGAAGCCGAGCAGCAGCTTCGCGATCATGGCCTGCAGGCAGTGCTGGAAAATGAACACCCAGCAGGGCCGCGCGTGCGGCAGGTTCGCCCCGAACGTGGTCTTCAGCTCCTCAGATGGGCGGCGCGCAGAGATGGGGCCCACGCTTCGAAACTCTCAGACCTCCCCGCTTCGAATGTCTCCTGAGTCGTCTCTCCTTCCCCCTGAAGGTGCCTCCACGGAAGCACCCGGCCACCTCTGCAAGGGCCCTCCCCGTTGCCAGACCCGCTGGTGCGCGCCGCCGACATCTCGGGGAAGCGAAGGCTGCACTTCGACATCCCTCGGCAGCCAGCAACTGCAAACTCCTCCACGACCCTTCCGGGGGGGCGGCGCGCGAATTATCCAGCTTTGGTGCCGCACTGCCTTTTGGACGGGGGTCTCCGGAAGTCTCTGGTGATCTCTAGACGCCTAAAGAAGGTCAGAGGGGGCCGATGGTGCTTGGAAAGGTTTCGATCCTCGTGCTGGACTTTCGGTCCATCGATTCTTTTGGTCAAGGTAGTGAGGAACAAAAAATGCACAAACATATAGATTCTCGAAGTCCGCGCGGATTGTTTGGATCGGCGCTGAACCTCCTTTCCTCGCGAACGAAGCGCGCCAGAGGCGGCGCCAGAGGCGCCGTAAGGGAGGCCCAGCGTGGATCCAAGGAATGCTTCTTGATAGACGACGTGTTCAAGCACGCTGCGCCGTGCGCGCCGGGGAAGGGGGCCCAGCGCGGATCCAAGAAGTCCGCGCGGACCTTCGAAAAATAGCGCTTATCGATTCTGGCCGATGCTTGAGGATCGATCCTCGCATCTCGAGCCTCCTGACCCCCTCCTCCCGGGAGGGCGCACGCTGGTGCGAGAGGCGGCCCGTGTGGCCCGTGCCGCGTCGTGGCCTGCGGACCCTCTTGTGGCCCCCCCGCCGGCTGAAGGGAAGGAACTCGGGCTCGAGCTAAACCGTGTGTTTCCGCCGGCGTTGTGTCATCGTTCTAGTCCCTCGTTCTGCCTTCGTTTCCGCCGCTGCTGCAACGCGACAGCAAAACGAAAACAGAGTCCACGAGATCGCCAAAACGCGGCTCAGCCTGCTCCCTGGAATCAGAGGACCATGATTAAGTCGGGCCTGTCCCCCTACAAGGGAACTTCGACGAAAAAAAATGCACCACAAATAATAGAAAAAATCAAACAATAGTCCGGGGACGATGTTTGATCTTTTTGGTGCATTTGTGGGGTATGTTTGGGGTATGTTTGGGGAATTGTTGGGGTATTTGAATATGTTGTTTGACCTTTTGGGTGTATGTTTGGAGTATTTTTTATTGTTCGTCGAAACTCCCCCTGTAGGGGGACACGCCCGACCTAAGACCATGCCCGAGAGGATCGCCCCCAAGGGGGCGGCTCCACATCCTCCTCCTCCTCCTCCTCCTCCTCCTCCTCCTCCTCCTCCTCCTCCTCCCTGGAATCAGAGGACCATGACCGAGATGATCGCCCCCAAGGGGGCGGCGCCGCGAGAGGGAGGGGGGCCTCTGAGAAGCCGACGGGGCTTCGGAGAGTGCTCGGGGGGGGGGCTTCTTAGAAGACCCAAGAGGCCTCCAGGAAGGCTTCCTCGAAAAGGGAGGCTTCTGAGAATGCTGGGGGGGGGGGCTTCTGAAAATGCCGGGGGGGGGGGGCTTCTTAGAAGACCCAAGGAGGCTTCCAGGAAGGTTTCTTTGAAGGGGCCCCGAGACACACAAACAAAGACGCACACACATAACAGGATTCCCCTATGTTTTCCAGTATTTTCTTGGTTTCTGTCTTCCCCCCCCCTTCCCATAGTTCTCCCTATTTTCCTGGGAGTCGACGATTCATCGTGTCTGTGTGTTTTTTCCCGTCCTGATTCTTCGAAGTCGGGTGGGTTTCCGAGCAACCGCCATGGCCTCCTTAGAAGCCCCCCCTCCCTTTCGCGCCAACCCCCGTGGCGCCGCCACCGTGGCCCGCGGTCCCCCTCGTGGCTCCCTCCTCGACTCGAGGGAATGCAAAGGAGGAAGTGGAGGAGCCCTGGGACACAAATAACAGGATTCCCCATATTTTCTTATGTTTTCTTGGTTGTGTCTTCCCCCCCACTTCCCATATTTACCCATCTTTTCCTGAGAATGGGCGATTACTTGTGTCTGTGTGTTTTTTTCCTCCTGAGGAAGGATCGGGCGTTGGCAGAACTGCGCTTCGTGGGGCCTGTTTTAGTGATGTGTAGTGGGGGGCGCCCCCCTGCCCCGTTCCACTAACTAGAATTGCCGTCGCCCGAAGAAACACAAGCTGCGGCAGACCTGGTTCAGCGATTCTGGCCAATTCAGGGGCCCCGGTGAAGGGACCCAGTGAAACAGGGGTCCCCTTACCTGGGGTCCTGGCTATACCCGCAAGGAGGAGGAGGAGGAGGAGGAGGAGGAGGAGGAGGAGGAGGAGGAGGAGGAGGAGGAGGAGGAGGAGGAGGAGGGAGGGAGGAGAGGGAGGAGGAGGATGAGGAGGAGGAGGAGGATGAGGAGGAGGAGGAGGAGGAGGAGGAGGAGGAGGAGGAGGAGAGGGAGGAGAGGGAGCGGCGGAGCGCCAGGGAAGCGAAAGCTCTGCCAGGAAGGGGCAGGCCGGCCGGCCTCGGGGGCCCGCGGCCGGGGGGCCCCCGCGGGTGCCTCGGAGGCCTCGGCAGGCGCGGGGGCCTCCGAGGGCCCCGGCAGGAGGCCCACGTCTGAGGGGGCCCCAGGACACAGAAATAAATACACACAGATAAGAAGAGTCCCCATCTTTTCCGACTTTTTCTGGGTTTCTGTCTTCCCCCCCACTGCCCACATTTTCCCCTATCTTCTGGGGGATCGAGGATTCATTTTGTCTGTGTGTTTTTCCTCTCCTGAACGTCATCGGGACGTCGGCGGAGCCGCTGTGTCCGTGGCCCTGGCTCTGGTCGCTTCGGCGGTGGACATCATTCTGAGAAGTGCAAGGGCTAAGTCGGGCCTGTGCCCCTACAAGGGGGTTTTCGACGAAAAATGAAGAGCACCCCCAAAGTATTCAAAACACCGTCCAAAAATAGTCTGGGGACTATTTTTTGGGTATTGTTCGACCTTTTGGGGGTATTTGGGGGGTGTTTTGGGGGTATTTTTCTATTTTTCGTCGAAAATCCCCCTGTAGGGGGGACAGGCCCGACATAACGCAAGGACAGGCGTGAACCGCACCGGAGTGGAGAGACCCTCGACGGCAACGCCACGTGAGAAGACACGCGGTGGGCTCGGCTCGGGCTCGGCGCGGCACGCGGGCACGCCGCTGCTGCGCTCTGGAGAATCGGCGGTGGACAAACCTCCCTCGGGTAAACCTCCCCTTAGTGAAAACGGCCTGGGACCGAAACCGACGGACCTGGACCCGCAAAAGTGACGGCCGCGGCGCCCTCTCGCGAACCGAAAACGGCCAATTCACTAATCGACGTGTCAGGGTAGGAGGTCTATCCACCCCCGGTCACTTTGAATGGAAGACAGAAGATCCACCCCGATAGTCACCACCCCGACACGCGAAGCCGTTTAGCAAACGCGCCCATAGAAGGAAACAAAAAGGGCAGGGCTGCTGAGTAAAGGCCCGCGGCTGGATCTTTGAATGGGACGCACCAAGACATACTACTACCATATGTTCCCTTTGGAGGCGCGCGTCCGACCCGAACATATAGTATGTCCATCTTGTAGTCGGAGGTTGGGGGGTGAGATCGCAGTGAAACGGAGACCCCCCACCGGGAAATCGGTTTCGGTTTCGTGTTCGTGTCGTGCGTGCGGGCGAGGCGAAGCTGCGCGTGATCCTCCTGTAGCTAGGCCGATAAATAGGAGCGAAAGTTCGTTCCCCGTCCGCCGGTGGCCTGGAGGTGTCCCAGTTGGGCCGGGCGGTGTCCCGGGTGTCCCGGTGTCAGTAGGAGCGAAAGTCCGTTTCCCGTCAGCTGGTGGCCGGGAGCTGTCCCAGTTGGGCCGGGCGGTGTCCCAAGTGTCCCGGGTGTCCTGGGCGTCCCGGCGCTAACGCATGTCGGCGCCTGCGGCGGGCTGTCTTATCAAATCCAGCTTATATTTTCCAATCCATCTTGTCCAATCCAATCCATCTTATCTTATCCAACCCATCTTGTCCCATAGTATCTCTTCCCACCCAATCCAATCCACCCAACCCAACCCATCAATTCACGTGTTTCTGCGACTGCGGTGGGCCAGTGCAATCCATCTTATCATATCAAATTCATTTCTTCCTATCCAACCCATCTTACCTTATCCAATCCATCATATCCCATCCAATCCAATCCACCCAACCCAATCCATCAATTCATTTATGTCGGCGCCTGCGGCGGGCTTTCTTATCCAATCCAGCTCATCTTATCCAATCCATGGTTGTGCCGATGGTTGTCCTGTGGTTGTCCGACAACAAATCGTTTTTCGGCGCCTGCGGCGGGTTTTCTCATTTTGCTTTTGAGGTCGCTATTGAGATCGACAGTGAGGTTCACCGACAGGTCGGTCGACGGATAGGTAGATAGTGGGATCTCATTGTCATCGCGATCATCATTGTGGTGGAGGTGGAGGGACGAGAGAGGGCGAGAGAGAGAGAGAGACAGAGAGAAAGAGAGAGAGAAAGAGAGAGATGAGATCAAGGTGACAGGCTGGAGGTCAGTCAGGGTGGGCATTTGATCTCAATCCCCCCAACCTCCTTATCGCCCGCATGGCGGTCGTATAGGTATATCGTTTCTCGAGCGGTGTGGCCAGAAAGCGCCCGCCACAACGCAAATACTGCAATATTTCTGGGTGCGCACATCGCTCCCGGGGGGCGACGCACAGATAGTATAAGTACCTATACGACCACACTGCTGGTGATAAAGAGGTTGGGGGGCAGCAGTGGGCAACAGTGGTGACTGTTGTATTGACGATGCTTGTGGTGCGCAGTCTACTGAGTACTGTGATTGTGATCGTGAGCGTGATGTGATGTGGCGATGTTGACGAAGCGCACTCGACAATGTGCCTTTAGATTTGCATGTGGATTTGCATATAGATGTGCATGACGATTTGCTTTTCGATCTGCATCTCGATTTACATGTCGACGTATCGATGTGCACGTCGATTTGCTTTTCGATCTGCATCTTGATTTGCATGCCGACTTGCATTGGAAAGCTCGCCGCAGGGCCGATGTTTATAAATACGCAACCCACGGCGCCTTACGATTTGCATTTGGATGTGCATGTCGATTTGCATTTCGATGTGCTTTTCGGTTTGCATGTCGGTTTGCATGTATAATTGCATTGGATAGCTCGCCGCAGCCACGGCGGGACACCGGCGGGACACAAGCGGGACACCGCGGGCCACCGTTTGACGGGAGGAGCATCATTTGGTCCGGCCGCGGCCCAGCCACAGGAGGATTTCGGGACACCAGCGGGACACCGGCGAGACACCGCGGGCCACCAGCCGCCGGAGGAGAATCATTTGATCTGGCCGCGGCCCAGCCACAGGAGGATTTCGGGACACCAGCGGGACACCGGCGGTACACCGCGGGCCACTGGCCGCCGGAGGAGAAGCATTTTATCCGGCCGCGGCCCAGCCACATAACGATTTCCTCTCGCCCGCCCACTCAGCTTCGCCTCGCCCGCACGCACACACGCACGGCACGCACGACACGAACCCGAAACCGAAATCGATTCCCCGGTAGAGGGGGGTCTCCGTTTCACGTCGGACTCACCCCCCAACCTCCGATGTTGAGGTGACGTCGATTGAAGGGAATGATCGGGGATGGACAGACCCCCCTTTAGTAAAACGTGGTTTAGTGAAAACGACCTGAGGCCCAAACCTGGCGGGCGCCAGCCTGGAAAATAGCGGCCTCGGCGCCCTCTCGAGAACCGAAAACAGACAATTCACTAATCGACGTGTCACTGTTGGGGGTTCTGTCCACCCCCGAAATGAGAACGAGGACCATGACCAAGACTGACCGCGTAGTGGTCACCGTCAACTCGTGGACTGTCCTGGCGGATCGGCGACGGCCCGCATGGGCCGTGGCCAAGGCCGGCGTCGACGAGATCTCGCGACTTCGTGGTCATGGTCACGTTGTTTCTTCCTCCGGTCGACTGCGTGATCTCTTTCACGGCGTCGGCCCAGGGCCCCTTTGCCCCTCGCCCAATGCAAGGCGTCGGATCTCCATCCTTCCATCTCTCGATTTGATTTTCCCCCCCCTCTCTCTTTAGATCTATCACGTTCGTTGTGTAACTCTCCCTCTCTCTCTCTCGCTCTCCCTCCCTCTCTCTCTCGCTCTCTCTCTCTCTCTCTTTCTCTCTTTCTCACTCCTTCTCTCTTTTCTCTGCCTCTCTCTGTACATGTCGACGTGTCTACTTATATACACAGGGAGATATGTAATACGTGGTCTTCCCAGTACCCGGGAGTAGGGAGAAGTTCGGCCTCCACGCGCGGAGGCCCGAATTCATCGGGATCCTGATAGCATGCGGACGCACTGGTACTGAGCGTGGGGGATGCTCGCCATCGCTTGGACGTCCATTCCCTGTGCTTTTTTCGGTTTCGTGCGTGTTTTTTTCGCCAGATGGTCGAGGATGCTCCTCGATGGTCCTCGCCGAAGGAAAAATGCTCACGTCCGAGCGATGCCAAGGATAACATGCGGACGCACTGGTACCGAGCGTGGGAGATGTTGAACACACGCTAGGTCACGGCCCTGGCTCCTGCCGCGGTCCCCGCTGCCCTGGCTGGCCGCTCCGGCCCGCTTACCGCGGAACTCTTCCACGTCTGAGCGCTCTCCCCTTCCACCCTTCGCGCGGCCGCCCTCGTCTTCGCCTCTTTCTCTCTCTCTCTCTCTCTGTTGTACGCCAGACAATTTGCCTATCGGTTGCCCCGATTAGCCGTTAGCCCCAGGCTGGTGCGGATTGCCTCCGCCTCGCCGCTGACGAACAAAGTTTAACACACGCTCGTAGACTAAGCAAATCATCTCTCGCGCGCGCAAGCCATGTATTAACACCATCACTGTACATAACCGAGATGGGTCTTTAGAATCCCCCGACGGTGCAAACAAATTATTGCTTCGACGCCCTCATGGACGGACATGGGGCCCCACCAATAAAGGAACCATCTTGTTCATCCACGGCAACCGCCGCGAAACAACAACGACGACATCAACGAAGGAGGAGGAGGAGCAGCAGCAGCAGGAGGAGCAGCAGGAAGAGGGACGATACCCCTGTCCACCGCCTGCCGAGGTCCAGCAGTATCGCTTTCCTAGGCGGTGGCCATGGAGAAATTCCCGCCCCGCATAGGCGGCCACATGCGAACCCTACCCCCCCCCCCACGATTTCTAACGGCGGGGTGAGGGTTCACTCCGCTCGGGGCCCAGCGCGGATCCAAGAAATCCGAGCGGAGCGCCAAAAGTTTATGTATATGGCGGTTGTTTCTCCTTCGAGAACTGCCCCCCCCAGGCTCTTCTTTTGTCGTCTTCTTCTCCTCGTTTATTCTTCTTTTGAAATTCGCCGGCCCAACGGGCCAGGGCGTGCTAAGATCTCCGGTAACTGGTTAACAGTATTAACAGTATTTCTAGTTCGCGCGCGCGGGGCGGCCCCTGGGGGTCCCCCGGCGAAAGTACCCCGACCAACGCCCGACCGCCGCCCGACCGCCGCCCGACCGCCGCCCGACCACCGCCCGACCAAGTCTACTCAGAGATGGTTTTCCTTCTGGGTGCGGCCTCTCAGGCTCCCCAGAGCGCGCTCAGAGTGCCCCAAGAGGCCCCCAAGACTGCCCAAGAGGCCCCCGAGACGCCCAAAGAGCGCTCGAAGACGCCGAAGATGACCCCAAGACGGCCCAAAAGGCCCCCAAGACAGCCCAAGAGGCCTCCAAGACGCCCCAAGAGCCTTCCAAGAGGCCTCCGAAGAGAGCCCCAAGAGGCCAAAATCGTTGATTTTCATTGGTTTTTTCATGTTTTTTGTGTTCTGGCTTTTTCGGCTTCCGGACGCTCCAAGACGGCCCAAGAGGCCCCCAAGACCGCTCCAAGACGGCCCACGAGGCTCCCAAGACGGCCCCGGAACGGCCCAGGAGGGCCCCCAAGACGGCCCAAGTGCCGCCCAAGACGGACCAAGAGGCCCCAAGACGGGCCCAAGAGGGGCTCAAGAGGGGAACCGAGAACTGAAAAATCGAGCCCTCCGCCCCAGAAGGCGCCCAGGAGGCCCCAAAAAGGCCCCAAGAGGCCCCCAAGAGGCCCCCAAGACGCCCCAAGAGGCGCCCAAGAGGCCCAAAAGAGGCCCCAAGAGGCCCAAAAGAGGCCCCCAAAACTCGGCTAGCCCACAACGGTGCGACAATATGGGCCGGCGGAATGAGCGAAGCGATTAAATCATCGTATTATTTGTCATTATGTGTGTTCTTCTCCTGCTTTTCTTCTTCTTCTTCTTCTTCTTCTTATTATTATTATTATTATTATTATTATTACTATTATTATTATTATGCTTATTATTATGTGTTGTTATTTTTGTTTCTTCTCCCCCCGCCCCCCGGGACGATCGCCGACGTCCTGGTCGAGGGTCCACGCCTCGTTCTGCAAGTAGTTAAAGTCCGCGAAAACGTGCGCCAGGCGGCGGAACCGCCGCGCCGGGTTCGCGTGCGCCAGCCTCTCACCGGGCGTGGAAGGGGGGGGGCGGCAGGGCACACTATCACCAGAGCACCTCTTCCTCCTCCTCCTTTCCTTCCTCCTCCTCCTCCTCCGCCTCCTCCTCTCTGTTTCGCATCTTGACTATGTCGTCTTTCCTCCCTCCCCATCCTCCTTTCGCCCTCCCCACCGCCTCCCTCCCGTGTCCCACCTTGGGGGCGGAACGTCAGAAGGGAACTGGCTCAGCTGGGGCCGTAGAGCTCGAATCGGCGAGACATGTCCGACAAAACGGCCTTGGACCCCCGATAGCGAATCCGCACGCTCCTAGGCGGGGTAGGCAACCAGGCCCCTATCAGCGATGAGTGGGCCAGTCGGGGTCGATGTGATGCATCCCCTCCGCGAGCCTACCCCCCCCCCCGCGTCGACTGGCTTTCGGATCCTTAGTCAGATCTCTGGCTGCCCTTCGAGACGACCCCACTCACCCCCGAAACGCCCTCGGCGAGAAGCAGCCGTTTGGACGCACCCCGTGGCTGGAAAGCAGCCGGAAGCACCGAGAACGTTTGGAAACCTGGAATGACGAGCCATACATTTCGAACCTCCTCCTCCTGCTCCTCCTCTTCTTCCTCCTCCTCCCCCTGTCCCTCCTCCACCTCCTCCTTTTCCCCCTCCTCTTAGCCTGACCAATCTTCCTCTCCTCCTCCTGCACATCCTCCTCTTCCTCCCCCTCTTTCTGCTCCTCCCCCGCTGCTGCCGCGAACCGTCGGTCTGTCGCGCGATTTCCGTGCTGCGGGGCTCAGGCTGCCCCGTCAAATGCCTATCCCTCGCGTCTGATGTCGAGCTTGCGTGTTGCACGCCATGTGGCGCCATATGTTCGGATCGTCTCGTCACTCTCGCCAAGCCTTGCTCTGCTCGGCATGCGAAGTGCACTGAGAGGATTCGGACTCGCCTCCACATGGGGTAGTATATGCATGCCAGCAGGAAGGAGCTGCTCGATGTGCGCTCGATTAATCGGCTTGGCGTTCCCTTCGAATTGCCCGTCGGGTGCTCCTAGGCGCGCAGTGTCTTGCGCAGGAAGCCGAGGAAGATGAATGCGATCAAGGGATGTGGGAGGACAACTTTTTCTACGACAGATCCTGAAACAGGAACGCTGACTGCGGAGCGCGGCACGGCGCGCTGAAATGTTTGCGCCACGCGCTGTGGCCATATCTGATGGCTTCGACTGCTGTGGATCGTAGTATTCTCTGGAGCTGTTCCGCAGAAGGGGCAATCGACGAAACGGTGTGGAAGATAATTGACAATGCACACCGTACAGAAAACCGATCTGCGCATCATGGGATGCATGCCCTGTTCAACTGCATCACGCAGCGCCATGTTGTGCATGCGCGTCCTCCACCAAACCCCTCGGCTCTCGAGGTTGCCCGACATGGGAAGGAAAAGTGCGCGGAGTGGAGGTGGGGCGCCGCCGTGAGCAACTTTGCGCAACAAGCCCAAGATAGACAAATCCCGTCTCATGCAGGCTGGGGCGAAGCTGCAATCGCAAAAAGGCCCTTTCTTCAGAGACCCCGATCGCCTGCAAAAACCCACCCTGCAAACCGTCTAGCGGAGCTAATTGCTGCATCGGTTGCATGAGTGATTGCCGGGGCAGCGCCGCCCACGAATGAGGCAACGTGGCAATTGACGAACCTGAAAACTTCAGCTGCGCTGTAGAACTTGCGAGATCGAAGAGGCACCTAGAGCCGCCAAGGGGCTCCGTGAGAGAACTCTAGGACTGCGCGATACATGGTCAACTCGGGGTCGATGAGAACGCTGAGGATCTTGAAGCCGTCCCCGCGAGGCCGGCACTTGCAAATCATGCGCGCTCTCTTCGGTCGCCTCGAAAATCGCCCTGTCGGCCGCGCCCCACTCGCGAAGCCTGGACTGGCACCGGTGGCGCGCAGTGAGGATGGGTGCATTGCGTCCACACTTTCGAACTCTTTCCAGCGGTTGATGTCGGCAGCGAAAACGCGCTCCGTGAAATCGGCCGAAGAAGCGGCGAGCTCGGCATCGCCATAGAACGAATTCCACAACGGCGGCCCCAGAGCCGCACCTTGGAACACCATGTCCAGAAGCAGGAAAGGCTTGGAGAGGAGTCCGCCCACGCTGACATGCGCCTGTCTCCCAGAAAGCCAAGACCGAATGACGTCCAGAAAGGGCGCGCACACTCACGACGCACGTAATTAGCCATCAGGCGGTCGGAACTGACCCTGTCGAACGCTCCGGCCACGTTCGAGCAGTGCACCCCCTCGCGCCACCCACTGCAGGTAGCACGGGCCCCACAGCACGCCATGTACGCCAAAGCGTCTCTGCATCCCCGGTTCGTATGATAAGCAGACTGGTGGCGCCCGCATGCTCGACTGGTCTCGAAGAAAGGAGGCAGCGCGCAAGCGGGGCAACGCTCGACGACCTGGCTGATTTGGGATGCGAAGCGAGTTCAATGGTAATTCGGCGGATTCGAATGTACCTTTCTCTTGAACAGCGGGCACAGCCAATGTAGCTTCCATGGTTCAGACCACTCGCCGCCATCCAAAAACAAGCGTGCAAGCGTGGCAATAGGGGCAGCTAGCTGCGAGGCGCATTTCTTCAGAATCTGGCCTGCAAACACATCAGGGCCAGTGCCGCTGTCTTCTCGCAACCTGCGCAACATGCGCGAAATCGCGCGGGAATGCATCGGCATGGAGCTGGTAATCGAAAGGGTGCTGTTCGCTTGTGCGGGAGTGAACTCGTTGGCGACCTCGGGAGGGGGACCAAACTTATTGCGGAGAAGTGTCGCGGGCAGTCGGTGCAGAACGCTGCGCGCGCATGGCCACAGACACGCGTACCACATGATGGTCGTGCTCGATTGTGGGCGGAAAGACTTTGCACGTCATGCCGGAGCACGCATCCGTCAAGACAAGGCCCATCAAATTGTTCCCTCGAGTCGGTCTCCCAACTGTTCCTGTAGGCCCATGCGGCTGCAAGTGTCGCGCAGGACCCTCCCCTCCTTGGATGCGCCTCACGAAGAACAACTCAGCCACTGACTGTGATGAACATTCATGTCACCCATGCCGACGGTGCCCGCGACCTGCTGCTCGTAATCGCGCCACTCCGTCAATAGAGCGCGAATGGCGTCGACGTCTGCTTGAATGCGGCGGCGCCCTTACCTGTCACAAGCCGATTCCAAAAACCGGCGACTTCCAATTCAATCCCGCCTTCCTTGCCAGCGGCCAGGGTATAGGTTTTGATCAACTCCTGGGCCTTTCGCGTGGCATGGTTCCGCTTGCGTTGCAATTCCGAGCTCGGTGCTGGACAACGACTTTGACGCTGGAGAACTCGAGCCATGATCCTGGGAAAAGTGTTCGGTTTGTGTGTGGCTCCTTGCACACATTACCAGGTTCAGTGGGCCGGAATGTTTTGAAATGGTCCTTGATGAAGGCCTCCATCTTTGCGATGCGGGCGTCGGCGTCGACGCCGTCCGGCCAACCAACGAAGGCCACGCGACGACGAGCAGGATCCATGCGTTTGACGCTGCTTCGCAACTCGTTGATGGTGCGCGCGTCGGCGTCTGATGCAGGCGATTGGGACTCTAAGACAGAAGCTCTGGAACACAGTTCATAGCATACTTCCTTCGAAAGGTCGACGGCCTCTGATACGGTGACTTTGGCATCCACCTGTCCATCCTTCCTGAAAACATCAAAATTCCGCTTCAAGTCCTCGGTGTCCGACTGCAGAACCATCTTGCCCATCTTCTCAGAGAGCGCTGAAATAGCCTCGAGGACCTCCATGTCCGGAGACTGCGCGGAGCTACCCTGAGATCCAGATCCCAGTGTCCTGGATTTTATGGTCTCTTTCAGGCGCTGGATCTTCTCAAGCTTCTTGTTGGCCAGAGACGCAGAGGGTCCTCGTTTAGCCGTCGATGCAAAGGCACTGTCCAGGTTAGCCTGGACATTCCGATTAGCCATGGCGGCGCTATGCACGTAGGGGTAAGGGAACGTATCAGCCGATTCAAAAGAAATATAGGAAGTAGATAGTAGTGACACTCTTGGGGCATTTTTGGGAGCAACTGCTGAGTTCAAATTGTGCTGTAAAAGAAGCACTCGTGGTGCGGGGAGGGGGCTTTGATGGGGGGGAAAGAGGAAGGAGGACGAGGATGAGGCAAGGCGGAACGGAGGGGAGCGGACGAGAATACAGGACAGAAACACGGAGATGACGAGGGGGAGGGCGACCACGATGGGATACATGATCCTGGGTCTGGGGGTCCCCCCTCCCAGATGGGATGGGTCTCAGGGTCCCCCCTCCCCCCGGATGGGATGGGGGGACGTCGACGACGACGACGACGACGACGGCGACGACGACGACGGCGGCGACGAGGACGACGACGACGACGACGGCGACGATGACGACGACGGCGACGACGGCGACGGCGACGACGGCGACGACGGCGACGGCGACGACGACGACGACGACGGCAGCGACGACGACGACGACAACGGCGGTGGCGGCGGCGGCAGCGGCGCCGACCTCCGGAGCCCTCCGACGACGACGACGGCAGCGGAGGCGACGACGACGACCTCCAAGCTCTCCTGGAGCACCATGTACCGCGCCACAGACTCCACACGCCCACAGCACCACACCACACCCACCAAGGGGGGGAGCATCGCGCGGGGGAGGGGGGGCCATTGGCATCAGCATGAGGAGGGGGTATGCCCAGACCCTGGACCATATATCCAGGTGGAGGAGGATGGAGATGCGTGACGCCTCAGCAGGTGGGCGAAGAGCGGTTCGCAGCGGGACAGGAACGAGTCCGCGCCCTTCTTGCAGTGCTGCAGCGCCTCGGCAGGGAAGAGCACCTGCGTCAAGGAGTCCAGCACGAGTCGCCGCACGAGCCCTTGAGCACCGGGGGCTGGATCGATCGAAAGACTGCTACGTTGCATCGCCCGGGGAACTCATCGGTACCATTGCGCCAGGTGTCGAATCCGCGTCGAATCCATATTGAGCAAGTCGAATATGCGCCGAATCGGCGTCGAATCTGCCCTGGATCCGTGCCGGATCCGCATCGGGCGCAATAGAAGAGCGCAGTCAGTAGGACAGGCAGGGTCCCCCGAATGTGCAGCGTGAGGGCTGGACTCAACCCGACTCAGGCTCGACAAGCTCGGCTGCAGCCATCGTGCAACCGTGAGGAGCGCCAACATAACAGGCGCAGGGGCGTTCCTGGCCTGGCCAGAGCGAGCAACGGCCTCGACGAACGTTCCACGACCAGTACCTGAGGAACGACACGAAAACCGGGAGCCCCCCCCTGAACCCCAAGTGGGCGACGACAAGAGATGAGCCTTACGCGATATGACTGAGCGACCTTCCGACGAGGCTTACGCGGGCCGCCAGCGTGGCACACCGCGTCGAGAAGAGGGCGCTGACGCGCGACCTTACGCGGGACAGCTTGCGCGCGGAAGGCCGCGCAGACGGCCCCGTGTTCTGCGTCGCTCTCCTCAGTTCCGCATCTTGCTTATGGCGAGAATTAGCATGCGCACAAGCGCGGGGGCGAGCAATCAGTGCCGAAGGCTTCGAGTGCTCCACACCATCAGCGCATCGCAACCTCTCTCATCACTCCTCACCGCGGTGCGTCACTACAGAGAGATGGCATCGCCTGATCGAGGAGGAGGGCGAGGGTGGGAGAGAAACATTGGGTGGGGCGCAGGATGCGGGGTCGTCCTCTAGAGGCCTCCTAGATGGGGTCCGAGTAGATGGGGTCGGAGGATCACGCCGCATCGCCGATACATCGGCGATGCATCGGCGATGCATCGGCGATTCATCGCCGACGTCGGCGACGCATCGGCAACGTCGGCGTGAAGTAAATCGGGCTCCACATCGAGCCGCATCGGCGATGCATCGGCGATGCATCGGCGATGCGGCGCGATCCTCCGACCCCATCTAGGAGGCCTAGATCGTAGGCCTAGATCCTCTCCGTTGCGTCGTTCTCTCCCCCCTCCCCGGGGCGGCCATGGGACTCAGCTACCCCCCCCCTCTCCTCCTCCTACTCCTCCTCCTCCTCCTCCTCCTCCTCCTCCTCCTCCTCCTCCTCCTCCTGCAAAACCCCGAGGAGGGTTCTGCACGGGAGCTTGGCGACAATGATAACGATAGGTCACCTTTATACTCCCGAACTGCGCAACTGGTCGATGTGACTTCGACCGTTAAACACTTGAGCCAAAGGCAGCGGGGTTACTATTCCTCCCCTGTCACACGCATGCTTGCATGTTAACACCCCCCCTCGGACGCCAGTCCGCATTGGCTGACGGGGAGGTGCTTGTAAACGCAAAGACAGGTTAAATCAAGCGACAGGCTGCGTGAGTATCGTCACACTGCCGAATTCGAAATATCTCATAACCACGTTCACGAGCACCACGTCTCTCAGACATGCAACGTGAGCTCAAGTAAACATTCAATCAGTTACGAGTTTAAAAGTAGCATCCAAAGTTCACACGGCAGGCTAGCATTTACATGGTTTTGATTGCTTTCGCTTTTTATGCGCCAATACCTGCGGTAACTATAAAAGATGCACATGCAAATAGATTCAGCTCAATAGTCTACTGCAACGCTATTGTTAAGCCTGGTTGAGAGGGGAGATGAGAGCGAGCGTAAAAGAAAGACATGCCGGTCACCTGTCACCGTTTACGACCGGCGCGGGCGCCTCACTGACGGAGCACGCGCGCCCCTGGACTGCGGTAAACCACGGTGCCCCACGCTGGCCGCCGCATAGGACGACACCCTGTTAAGGGCCTGCGTCGGGCTGTAATAGTCGGTGTCCAGGTACGCGTTAATGCGCTCCTCGTCGTCCAACCAGCACCCCTCGTCAAAGCTCTTGGTGGACCCGTCAACAATATTGTGGTAAGTACCAATGGCCCTCCAGTAACTGGCGTGGGGAGCCTTCAGCAGAGGTTTACCACCTGGATTGTTGCGGATGTGCTCCTCGACCGCAACTCCGGTAAACGGGTTCACAGTCCAGTACGGGTCGGTAAGCCAGTTGGCGAAGTCGTCACACGGCAACCACCCAAACCAACAGAGCTTCTCGCGGTGGTCACTTTTACGCTCGGTAATGTGATCCGCAGGCCAGTTGTCACGGTAGAGCGCCCTCATGGACCCCTGGTCGTTAAGAGCGACCTCCAGGATGGTCTGGTGCCAGTAAACCGGGGGCTTGTTGATGCTGCCCTTTAACTCCTCGGCGCTCCTGACCTCGAGATCCTCGATGAAGTAGTTGCGGTAATGCACCTGGAGCCCGTTCATGTAACGGCAATAGAGCTTGGCGAGGTCGTGCGTCGCAAACCTGATCACGGTAACCCCAGTTGAGATGTAGCCGTGCGGTCCGTAAGTGTCTTCCACCAGGTGCTTAACGGAGACCACGGCGGGGTTGCCGTGGGGCAGCATCCCGGCCCACGTTAGCAGAAGGCCGTGAAGCTGTTTCTCGTTCATTTCTGGCGCCTTGTTGACGTAGACCTGTGTGTCTGGGCAGCTGTGAACGTCGAACCACACTGGGCGGAGATCGTTAACGTGAATCGGCGGCACGTACTCGTCGTCGAACAGGGATTGCACGTGCCCGACCGCGTCAACCCACTCGTCGTGCTTTTCCAGCTCCTTCTCCGTCAACTGAGACCTCCAGCTGCTTGGGCCCTTTAACACGGAGTAACCAAGGAAGCCGTAGGCGTGCTGCCCGTAAATGTCGACGAACACCTCATCGTAGTCGTTGAGTTCCCGCCCCGTGTTGCCCGGAATAGATCGACCACCTGGAGTCGTTAACCCCTCTTTTGCCACATGTCCGACGAAGTTGCCTTCGAACCTGCGCCAGTTGTCGCGCGTCTTCATCGTTAATGCGACTACCTCCCTGGGGTCGGGCTCCACCTTGTAGTTGACGTCGTGGTCCTCGCTCTTGTCGTTTACCATAGGCATGCGGCCGTTGACATGATACAGTGGCCGGTACATGCCCCTGGCGACGTTCCGCGAGTATGCCGCAAGCTGCTCGTCCGTACGGTTAACAGCTTGAGGCTGCGGTGGAGGAACATACTGGGTCGATAACTTCTTGGGCACCGGAGGCGGGGGATTCATGCCGCTAACACTGCTTGACGCACCTGACTCTCCAAGGCCTGGAGGAGGCGGCTTGGGCGCCCTCGCTTTCACCACCGGGGCAGGGCCTTTTGCTGCTTCGTCACGTTGACTGCCCTGTGCACGATCTTCATCCATCTTCATTCCCAGCTGCAGTAACTCTTCCAATTCCCGCTTACGCTCATGCATGGCCTTGGGCGCCTTCTTGTAAACAGGTTGAGGTGACGTTGACTGTGGGATCTTATTCGGCGACACGGATCGACCGAACCCTCCGGTCTTGGGCGTGGTGCCGGTAAAGCCCTGAGCCGGGGGTGCACCCGATGCCGCGGCAGCTCGGGCTAGAGGCTGGCTGGCCCCGGCCGTCGCGTTGACTGCAGTGGGAGGTGCCTTGGCAACCACTGCTGTTGGGGGCTGCTCGGGTAACGGCGGAGGAACCTGCGGGATGTTGGTAACCGGGGAGTTGATCGGGTCATGCAAGAACCTCTGTAATCCTTCCAGCCTCTCCGTTACTGCCACCAACAGGCGTAGCGCCGCATCACGTTTACCCTCGAAGTCCTGCAGGGGCGTGATGTTATCGGTAAGGCGCTTGGCGGTGTTCAGGAGGTAACCAATGTTGTCGTTGATGCGCCTATACTTGGTTGCATTCTCCTCCGTGTTAACCCCCGAGTCGCGGTTCTGAATGTTCAGGTCCGTAATCGTCGCCATCAGGTCGTTAATATCCTTCTGCGCCCTTTGGAGATTCTCGTTGACGTCGTCACTGTCCTGGATCAGCGCATCGTTCTGCCGCGTCAACTCCTCGATCCTCGCCGCCATGTCATCCGCGGCCCTTTGCACCTCGTCAACGTGTTTGTCGTAGGCTCCGTGGAAATTAATCGCCATGTTAGTGAAGGTGACGGTAAACGCGTGGGCAACGTGCACCATGTCGTCAACACGGCGGTTGAGGTTCTCACGCGTAACCGGTCCGTCCCCAGCTGGGCTCTGGTCGACCATGGAGCCGTTGATGGTGAGGTTGACCTGGGGAGCCGCCATGCCCTCGTTCACGCTCAAGAGTGAGAGGTGATGGGTGGAGAAGGCCTTTAATAGCTGCAGTTTGCTTGACAGAAATGAGCTGCGAACATCAACATTCGATGCGTCAACATTCAGTAGCTGGTGCAAGCTCATGCCTGCCTGTTAATGCACATTGATTCGTGTTTCGTAGATGTGTGCTCATGCTTTCACGACTGACATACTTGGTCAACGCGTCTGCTGCATTCTCGTGTGTCCCGACTTTCACAATACGAATCACTCCCTCCTTAACTTTCTGCTGTAACCACAACTGACACACCTCAATATGTCTTACCTTCCCCAAGCCTCGTCTGCTTGCGATGGCAATCGCAGCTGTGGCGTCACTCTTCACTGTAATCTCAACTTCCAAGTTAAAGTCTCTCAATACTGCCTGAAGTCCTAAGCCCACTGATCCTCCTTTCACCAGTCCGTAATACTCTGCTTCACCTGACGATAACGCAATTACACTCTGAGTCGTGCTCCAGGACTTTATGAGATGTTTACCCCACATCACCACTCCCCCACTCGTAGACTTCCTCGTTCGCTTACATCCTGCGTAATCTGTGTCAGTCCAAATGGTTAACTCTTGGGGCTGCTCCTGATATTGATACACATAGCCGCTTCTGCTGTGGTACTTCAAATACTTTCCTAACTTGACTAAACCTTTCCAAAAGCTCATCGTGGGCTTTGACATAGTCCTAGCGAGTTCCTTTACCGAATACTGTATGTCAGACCTGTCCTGAGCTAAGTAAT